GTATAAAGGTGAATGGTTGGTGTGTACTTGGTTTTCGCATTTACAAATAACATATAATCCAAGCACACTAGGGTAAAATAGAATTGGTTCAAGGATAAAACACTAATACTTATAAGCATTAACTTCTCGATTCCCTAATATTTCTCATAGTAATTGCTTGATGTTTTCCGTTGTATTTCCTAGCCTCCAGACATCATCCCTTAATTGTGTATGACTTATAGGAATGGGGGAGTGTGACTCTCCCTTGGAATGATGCAAGAGATGGGGCAACCAAAATGGTGGATGAATGGAATTTACAAAATGAAATGCGTGTGTGAACAAAAGTGCTCCCCAAGCGCAATGAGTCTTTTGCTTGTCGTGTTTTACTTGGAATGACCATTCTAAGGTCGTCTCCTCAGGGAAGGAAAGTTCAAGTGTGTGAAGGTGATTTTGTGAAAATGTAAAAGTATAAAATCTTTTGTTGTGTTGAGTTTTGGTGAGTTATGTTCTTAAGGAAAATGAAATAAAAACAAGTGTTGGCTAATCTGAAGAGGTCATTCCAATGGGAATACCAACTCAACTTGAAACCTTCCTCCAATGGTGCTTAGATGAATGATTGATTCATGGGAAGCTAGGGACGAGATGGAGGTGAGGATCCAAGCATAACCCGTGACTAGGCCTATGAGATATGAAAGACTCACAACCGCATCCACTCTCAACCCAGTCAAACCGGACCATCGTACACCGAAAAGAGGAAAAAAATTATTTGAAATGAAAAATTCAAGAGGAGGTCTCCCTTGAATTAGCCAACTAGAAATCTAGCTACTCATGAAAGCAAGAAAGAAATGCATAATGTAAAGAGACATAATGAAGAAAGGAAACATGAAACTTAACTTAAAGCAAGAAATCTTAAACTATGAAGAAAAATATTCAATACCCATTTTAAAACTTGAAATGAAGAAAATTTAATACAACAATGGTAGAAACTAAGATACTCAACTAAACTTGCAAAACACTTGAAATAAATGACATTAAAAGTAAATAATGAAGCTTACAAGAGTCTTACAATAAACTACAAGTGAAAAGATGGAAGAAAATACAAAAACATAAATTTCTATGTAACTATTCATCATCTTCCTCATTGGAGCTTTCTAAGCTTAGGTAGCCACCGCCAAACTCTTGTGGAATGTTGAACATATGGAGTGTGAGATGATGCATTTTCGTCCTCAAGGCTCTCCTAGCCTATGTGCAGGCCTCCCATCAATGAGAGGCGATTTGATGCATTGGAGAGCCTTAGCCTGCAACCATTATGGCTGCCCCCTTCTCTCCCATCCTCTTTAATGACATTGCCTCCAAAGTCTTTAACTAGGGTGTAGAAGGCATTGAAATGTGTAAGGGATGTCAGGGGACAAGTGGGAGAATCAATGGTGGGACTCCCAAACAAGAGAAGCATGAGTTGCAGGCATTTTGGGTATTCAGCAGAGCATACCGGTACTGCAAACTCTAGTAGCATAAGAGTACCGGTACTGCATACCAGTACGTCGCCTGCTCCGGACCAGTTTTCGTAGAATCACTATAACCTTTGATCCAACCGTCCGATTGAACTGAAATTTTGACACAATACAGAAGACATCCTAATCTACAACTTTAATGTTTTGAACTTTTCAAATTCGAAGTGGATCATGGTCAAAAAGGAAGAAAACCAAGGTACTGCTACCAAATGGTGCGGATGCTGGTGCCTATTTTACCAAGCAACGATACCTTTTTGATTTCTTTCACTTTTAAACCTCCAAATCCTCAAGTAATGTGTTCATCTCTTCACCACACATCCACACTTAATTGCAAGGTTCTAAAATACATGATTTACACTATAATTACCTACAACATCGAAAATTCAATATTTTCATAAATTCGACTAACTCTAAGTACTTAATTGTAAAAGTTGAGTTAAAATGCATGTAATGAGGCCATTAAATATACAATATTATGTGCTCATCAGTAATACACTCAACTTTAAATTAACGATGGATATTCTATCAATCAAATCAAAGTGTGATTACCATGATCAACAACGAAAAACAAACAAAAGAAAAATCTTTTTACTTTTTCTTTTTTCAATGTTTTTGAAAATTTTCTTTTAACATATAAACAAAAAAATATGAATAAACCCGCAAAAAAAAAACAATTACCATAAATCCTAAAATGAATTTCCAACTAGACATCAAAAATATTTTTGGATTTGTCATTTACAAAAAAATAATGTAAAAACAAACAAATGAACTTTTTTACAAAGTATGACCCTAGGGTATTTGATGCAATGCATGAATGAGACACCTAGGTCCATACTTGTCACCTCACCTATTCTTTAGGTGGCTCAACCTCGTCAGAGGCACTCGGGCATCCAACTTAGTTGAAACGGTGAGCCTCTCTAAGTCCTCTTGACTAACCCAAACTTGATTTCGTTCCAACTTCTTGGTTTTGGTTGTGGAATGAGTGTAGGACTTACTCTCTTCTCTCTGGATGTATAGAAGTGAACCTTCAACTTTAGAGTAGAAGGAGCTTTGTGCACTCCAGCTTGTGGTCCCTTAGTGGGTGATGCATTTGTATACCTCAAATCACATGACTTCTCCATAAGCTTAGAAAGATTCATGACTTGATTGTTTAAAGCATTGCATTGGTTGACTAGATACATGAGCTTCTTATTCTAGACATCCCTATTATGCATGCAATGTGCGCTATAGTGGTCATGCTCACCATAAATGAAGCACACAAATTGTTTGGTTTGGGTTTCCTTATTATTTTTCTTCTTTAAGTGCTTACCCTTACCATTTTTAGTCTTTGAGGGACTTGTGTTCACTCGTGGGGGCAATGGGTTGGAATTACCCTTCACAAATACAACTTGGAAAATGTGTACGAGTTGTTCTCATCCGTGTAGCCTAGACCTCTTTTTTCACCTACACACATCCCTATATACAATATTTTATCTTCCTTTTCAATGCTTAGGGATAGGCTTTTAGAGAGTTCTTGTGATTCATGAAGGTTTATTATCAAGTTTTATCAACTTAGACTTTAGAAACTTCTTTGAAACGACAATCCATTGACACTCTCTCAAGAAAGCTTACTTTGTCTTGAAGAGACTTCTTCTCTTCTTCAAGCCCGCAAATATGAGCCTTGGACTTCACTAAGTCCACATGGAGTGCTTTTCGGTCTCCCTCACTTGTGTTGAATCTACCGCTCAAGACTAGCACTCTGCTTTGTTGTTTGAGAAATTTCTCATATAATTGATCATATGCATATTGTATATCCTCAAAAATCTCAATGTTCTCACATGTGGGGACTTCTTCTTCCAAGCCCTCTACTATCGCGGTAGGACTTGTTTTCAATTTCCTTAACTTCACTTCTTGAAGATTCTATACAGGGAGAGGAAAGTGAACCAACGAAGGCCATAACATTATCCTCATCTTATTGAGAAGAAGAGTCCTCACACATCACTCATGTAGATGCACTGCTAGTGTGGCTCCATTTAGCCTTCATTGCTCCCTATTTATCTTTGGGCATGTTCTTCTTCTTTCGCACTAGGACATTTTGCAGCCACACGTCCAAACCCTTGATACCTGTAGCATTGGATCCCTTGCCCTCTTGTCAAGAAGTTCTACCCCCTTTCTCTTTTCCCTCCTTAGGAGTTTTCAATCTCATTCTTCTCTTAATTGGGGTGACCAAGATTCATCTATTTCTTCTTGTCTAGAACTTAAGGCAACACCTTACACTTTCTTGGGTGGTAGGAGATTCATCGCATACATCAAAATAGACCCAATAGGTCTTCAACCAACATCGACGTTGTGTTGACATTTGCTTCAATGAAATATTTTCGGTAGAGATCTGAAGATTTTCTATTTAATGGTGGCGTCATTAATCTTGGTACATAATGCAAAGGACGATTTAACAATGTCGCACAATCTAACATAAAATATGCTAAATGTTTCTTCCTCTTGCATTCTGAAGATAAAGTCTACCACTTCCGGTAGATATCTGTAGATGTTCTCTCATGATTAAATAGGTGATTCAAAATTTTGCTTGGACAACTACCAATTTAAACCTAATTCTACCGCAATATCTTTTCTTAAAAATTAATCGATTAAAAATTTAGAACCACTTTAACAAGAACAATTCATAAACCCATGATGATGTAATGAATTTTTCAATTAGATCTACGTAACCGCATAGTTCGATACTTAAAATCTTTTATTAATTTGACCAAGAAAACTTATAAAATTTATGCACTTGTAAATTTCATAGTAGACAATGAATATATCTGACCCTGAAAATTTTGAAAGTGGGAGGATTCTAATCCACTACACCGCATGGATACAAACTAGCACCTCTGTAAACATTTAGAAGTATAAGGACTTGTCGCTAAATATGTTTGTCAAACATGGTCCAGTCCAGATCCACCCAAATGTTGCTGATGGTTTTTTGGCGTATTCGTCCAAACCAGCGAGGCAGTGACTGTTCAACGGACGAACCAACATTCGGGGGGAAAAAAAAAAGATAAATGAATAAATTGTAAGAAGGAATCCGTGTCTATCTCTCTCTAGGGTCACTCAGTCTGCAAGTGTTTGTCTCTCTCTAGAGTCACTCTGCAAGTGGTTATCTCTCTCCAGATTGACTGAAGGTTTTGATTGTATAATTCTTTAATTTTCTGCCCCTGCAACAAAAGAGAAAACAGAATTCTGGAATTCTAGACAGCCAGAAAATAAAGTTCTCGAATTTTACCGGTGACCCAGAGCGGATTTTTGCAAATTTAGTGAGTTTTCTGGGGACCCATTTCAGATTTTTAGACAATAAGTCGTGTCCAAGTCTTGGTTAATGAGAAATGATGATTTGTTAATGACCCGTTATAAGATTTTGTGATGCGGGGAGAGTGTGATTGTTAAAAATTATTATTTTTGGGGTTCGTGATGTGATTTGTATTCAAATAATGGGGCGGTGAAGTCTGAATCTGGTATTGGGAATCATAGTTCATGGGGAATTGTTTCAGTATTGAAGAGGAGGAACACAACAGAGACAGCCACCACACACCTCTGAAGAACAAACCAGGTATTTATGTGTTGATTTTTGCATTATATTTCTAATTTTAGTTTATTTTCAGTGAATCGTCTGTATTTAAGCCTTTTTGCCCTATGATGTGCACTACATTTTACAGGGTTTCCATTTAAAAAGTGAGATTAATGTATATTACCATAGTATATATAATGTTCGAGCGTCATCGGCAATTACTAACAATGCCATTACATAATAATGAGGGTCTTATTATAACAATTATGGCTGATAGGGGCCTAAATTGGATCTACAATCCTAAATTAACGTGGCAATGACGTTTGGGTCTTAAATCAATCAATAAGTTGTACTTAGATGATGATAATGAATGGCATCGTTTGCCATGCTATTGAGAGAAATAAGACAGTTAATGAACGATGTTTAGTTCTGTTGTATCCTTTTTGGGTGGTTTGGGTTTGTGAGTTTCAGAAATGTTTTTAAAATTATGACAAAACTAGATGGTATTGTTCTGTTGGTGATTAGAATTTGGAAAATAGGAGTTCATGAAAACCATAACTTGAATTACAATCTGTTCTATGTGTTTTGTTGTCATCATTGACGCCTCAATGCACATATGCTTTTCTTTTTTCTAGATAGAGATGGTTGGGAAAATTTCATATTATGGTGGATCTTCAATAGAGAAGGAGAGAGATTTTTCTTCCTTCGGCAATAACAACTACTAATGACCCATGAAGTTAAATTTCAGAGAGCAACAGAAATGCGAGCCATTTAGTCCATTTAGTTTTATTTTTCATTGAATCTATCGATTCTCCTGTTTTGATTCTTTCCTTATTCACAACGCTCACATTTCTTCCCAAGCAAACATCATCATTAATGTGAAGCCTCTTCACCATATTCCTAACTTCGTTATCTTATAATCTGCACAACAATGCAAACACCCATTTTTTTGGATCACACTCTATATAGTTACACCTACGTATGTTAGTTGGGGGGATAGAGAAAATGGAAGCAAGGTTATTATCTTCTTCAGCCATCTAAATTTACAAGATCAGAAATTATTGTCTTCTGAAAACAATTTACTTGTGTCAAATTCATCGATAACAGCCTCACCTGCTTCACTAGAAGCCTTGATGATGATTGCACAGTCTCTTTTACATTTTTTATCGTTTAAAACTAATAATTCTTGCAACAGAAAGAAAAAACTTCATAAGAATGTTACACAATATCACACGTAAACATGTGTGCAGGCAGAGAGAGAACCTGAAGTAATTACTAGTTAAATAACAGAGGTAATGAGTGTAATAACTGCAGTTGTTGAAAATTTCTGTCAAAATAGGCCATGGAGTTGCTGTGTCTCCTTCCAAAGAAAATTCTACACTTCCAAAGAAACCAAATACACCAGAGCGGCAAGGGACTACAAGTGCAAGCAGCATTATGATGATTTCAAAAAATATCAAGGATTTGCGTCAAAATCCTGGAAACAGTAATGTTGATATTTTTAGATATGAAGAGATGAAGTTGGCCACCAAGCACTTCAGACCAGATCAGGTTCTGGGAGAGGGTGGGTTCGGGATTGTCTATAAAGGAGTAATAGATGAGAATGTAAGGCCTGGTTACAAGACCACTCCAGTTGCCATTAAAGAGCTTGATCCAGAAGGGCTCCAAGGCGACAGAGAATGGCTGGTATTTACTTTGGCTTATCTTGGATTTATGTTTTCTTCATAAATGATACCTTACATAAGCCCTCACTATTGATATGGAAAGCTTTTGTTACACTGTGCCAATGACAGATGCAAATTTAATTTAATAATGAAAAGATGTTGTAGTGACTTTGTGTAGAGGAATTGTATGACAATGATATTGAATTCATTAACATGGTAAGTCAGGAAGAATAGTTTCATAAGAGAAAGAGTGCTTTTTTTAGAATCATCTAATCCTAGTGAGATGGCTTTCCACTACTTATAGTCTTGGTTGCCTTTTAGGTCTCCCTTACCAAAGTCATGGTCGCACATGAAATGTTTTCTATTTTAGGACAGTTTGCTTTCTTGTTTTGTGTAGTCGTCCTTTGCATTTTACTGCCAGAGTAATAAGCTCACTTGTTATAACTTATATCCTTGCTATTTGTAGCAGCTTTGGGAGATTTTAATCCACACATTATATGGCAAGCAAGGCTAAGAACTTTGGAATTTGTTGTGAATATTGCCAACATGTTTGATATAAAGATTTACAATGCTTGGTAGATTAACTTTTTGTTACATAACAAACTGATTCTGATTTAGTGAATAAAAGGAGAGTGATGTCTCCCCCATGTTGCTGAAAGAAATAAGGTAATAACTTAAATTATCCGTTGAAAGCCTGGGACGGATAATTAATGTAGATAATTTCTAATTTCAGTGGCTGGAGTTACTTCATGGCTGCTTTCAGTTTCAATGACTTTGTATTGCCCTCTGTTCTAAAGGTTTATTTTCATAATTTTTTCTTGACCCAAGATTACCCCTACTAAATTAACATTCTGAGCAACTGAGCAAAGTCTAAATTAGACGATACTCACTTAACAAAGCCATGCCCGGTTGGGGTTAGCTTAGGGCTAAATTTGAGGACTATTGGATCTAATCTACTAACAGTACAAACATGCCTGTATGTGATTTATTTCCTTATTTTTTTGGGAAGGGAAATGTGTTGTGCCACAGATCGAGCTACTATGTAGGACAAATACTTGTATTTCAAACTGATACAATTTTCTATAGTAATTTGTTGGTTGTTGCCAGCTGATAATATTCCATCTGTGTAAGTGGTAAATAAGCTCTTGTAGGCTTACAACACTTCAACAGATTTAAGTTGCTTACTGTTGAGTAATTATTTGCAGGCAGAAGTCAACTACCTAGGACAGCTCCAGCATCCAAATCTGGTGAAGCTCATTGGGTACTGCTGTGAGGATGACCACAGGTTGTTGGTCTATGAATATATGGCATCTGGAAGCCTGGAAAAACACCTTTTTCGCCGTAAGTAGCTATATTCATATGAAACTGTGAAATGTTTATATGAGAAATTAGTGCCGTTATAAAGCTGTGACCTTAGGTTCAACAAGAATCAATCCCTCCAAACACTATACATTCATGTATCAGTTGCACATTGGTACAAATGTCATGAAGATGTAGAAATGGCTTTCTTGTCAACCACTCACCTCTGCCCTAGGGCGGAGCCACATTTTGGCCCGTAGGGTCTGAGCCCAATGACATTTCAAAAAGTATCGACTATGGACTAATTTTGATGAGATTGGCCCTACTAAAGTTGTGAATCAATGAAACAGAGTTAATTGATAGGGTGAATGTTGAATATAAATATATGTGGAAAGCTCTTACCTTTAATTGAAGACCCCATACAAAAACATTGTTGTAGTAATGATAACAAATAAGAGGGAAAAAAAAGAAGTCTAATCTACAATTTGTAGTTTTATAAGTTTACGGGGAACTTAAGAGGGGTGTGGGTAGGACTACGAATTTTTCTTCAACAAACTTTAAGACCTCAAAATTACTTTTTTCACTAATTATTCACCTAGGAGTGGCCTTCTTACATAGTGCTACTCACTTATCAATTATCACTTTTTTTTTTTTTTTTATGTTTTTATTTTTTAGGGTTAGGGAAAGGGAAGGGAAAGGGAAAGGGGAAGGGAAAGAGAGACTTGAACCTTGACCTCGAGAAGGTAAAGTTTTTACAAGATAAGGAGTATCATTGTACTAAAGGCTCATTGGTACTTATCAATTATCAATTAGTGCTTTGGTAGGGTGAATAATCTTAGGTTTAATTCCCCAAATTTGATTTGATATAATTAGTGTAGAACACTATTCTGCCTTGACCTAGTTGATTGGGTTAAGTTCCAGTTGGTTGGCTCGTTCTGCAAGACCTTACCATTGAAGATCCGTTTCTGTTTTTTTTTTTTTGGCTTATATACTCAACTTCATTAGCTAGTGTAGATCTCTCAAGCGATATCCAGGTTAGTATTGCTTACAAGTTTATTTTATTTTGTTGTACATTTTTTATTAATATTAATGATTTTCATATTTGGTTTGTATATAATAAATATATAGAGTTAAATATATATGAGTATATATATAGAAAAATTTAACTTGTGGTTTTTTTAATGAGAAATTTACATGAAATGATTAGAATATAAAAAATATTTGAGTGAAGGCTTATCCTTTTTTTTTTGTTAGCATTCAAGTAATATTTTTTAGTATATTTTATTCAGAATCTAGTTGTTAGTATCCTAACACATCAAGAGGTAACTAAGAAGAACTCTTTTACAAATTTTATATTCTAGTCAAACATTGCAACATATTAGTTTAGCCATTAAAGGGTGTGTATAGGACAGGTAAGGATTTAAATTTCGTTTCGGTACATTGTTTTGGTCATCTAAAAAATTGAAACATTTCAATGTCTTTCAAAAACTTTTCGGCTGGTTTTGGAGACAAAATGAAAAAAAAAAAAAAAATTTTTAAAACATTTGTCAAAATATACCAAAATATCTTAAAATATTTTAAAACATTCCGAAACAACTGTACAAATGCATTGAAAAATTATAAAACATCTCGAAATATTATGGAACACCTTGAAGTAATAAAATTTCGATTTTGTCACTGATTCATTTCAACCTCATTGGAAATGAAAACTTTTTGGACGTTTCAAAATAAAATTTTTATCCTTGAGAACAGGGTTTTGAAAATTGAATGTTACAACGCGTAATAGTTGTTACGTAATGGTATCGGTGGCCATCGATTCCGCTACAGCCCGTTATAGCAGTTGGAATGTTTTTTACTCCCGTAACTGTGTGTAATGGCCATTATAGGGCTTTAAGAGTGTTTTTAGACCGTCCGTTATACAGTTCAAAGCGAGGTGATGAGCTTTTTGCAAACCTCTCATTGGAGGTGGGCTCGTTGGAGAAGACACATGAGGAGAGAGTGAGATTTTGGCATATGTGATGACTGGATAACAGCTGGTGGGACAAATGATCTGGTACAATAGGGTATTAAGTTAAACATTGTCTTTCCCATATTTTTGAAAGATGTCAAAGTTGAGAACTTATTTTGAAACATAATTTTTAAATCTTCAGAGTGGAGGATTGAACCCAAAAAACAATTCATCAAGTAGGCCCATGTGCCTTGACATCTTAGTGATGTATAACTTGTGTTATATACACTATCTAGTTTTTTAATCCAACGGCTGGGGGGCTTGACATCCTTGAACCAATAATATAAAGAATTAAATTACGTATTTAACCCTCAAACTTTGACGTTTATGTCAATCGAGCCCTTGAACTTTTTTTTGAGTCAATTAAGCTCCCCCAATTGACACAAGGGTCATAGTTTGAGGGCCAAATACGTAATTTACTCCAAATTCACATTCTTTTTTTTTTTTTTTTAATTCTACACACTTGGCTGTAGTTATCAATCATCGAAATTCTCATATGTAACATAAAAATTCACTTTTGAGATCATGTAAGTATGTAAAGAGCATTCAATTAAAATTCGAACAAGTCAAGCCATAGATGAACACTATAATATACAGCGGTTCAGCTAATCCCCTTGCCTTTATCTACTCTTCCAACTACTCGAGTTGCACCTCAGTCCCTATATAGTGTTTTAGGATCACCCAAACTAGGCTTGTGGTTTACAGAATAAGCAAACCCCTAATCAATACACACATTAATTTATATAGTATTTCCTACAAGTTTTCCTGGGGTCATTTTGTAACCTACCTAATGCATCCTACTGAAAGCATTTGTTACGATTTTGTGAAGAATTTTTCTAAGGCTCACTGGCAACCAACTACTGCACAACTTTCATATCAGGTTTCTCTTAGATTCACCCAAAACATCTTAACTCCACTATCGGGCTTTCCTTAGGCTAACCTGAGAACCTAGCCCAATTTAGCTCACTACACTGTCACTCACACTTGAGCCAAACCTTCTCCTAGGTGTGTGAGTTCTTGTGTGTGGAAATTAATGTGTTTAATACCTTAAGAACAAAGGCCACATGGAACCTTCTGAGGGTTAGGATCTAATATAATCTCTCTATAAGTCCTTCCATATCACTCAAATAATGGTAGCTAATGAATATATAGTATTTAGCTGATAAATATAGAGTTCTAGACTCCCGAAACCATAAAATCTGATTTAGCAAATATAGCTATTACAAGGGTGAGAAATTTCAAATTGGTGGCAGTACAGTCGACTTGATAATGAGCCAACCAACTGGCCACCAGTCAACTGGCTATGTTCTTGAATTTCAGCTTTCACTCTAATTCGATTGGAACAAAGCAGTCTAGACTCTAGACTAGGAGTGTGTGCCAAACCCTAATTTTTGTGGTTGAAGCCCTTCGAGCTTTGCTCAGCTGATCATCTTAAGCATTTGTTGATAACTTGAAGAAGTCTTCCAGCTGAGACTTGCATAGGCTCTTCTTTGTCTGTTTGCCATTGTCTCCATCTGAGCTCTAATAGAAGTCATAAATTACCAATCCTAAGGTCCTAATTCTCCCTTTAGCAATTTTGTAATAAAACCCCTTTAAGGACTTTGTCTTGCACCACAACACAGTGCAATACAACCTAATGGTCACTTATATTCAATAAATATGTATAATGTAATACAATTTGAATGACTTATCTAATCTAACCTAGAACTCCCCTGGGTGCTGAGCTAGTGAGATTGCTCTCCCTTAATCCTTGCTCTTAATCTCTTTTGACATTCAAAATCATCTGCATATCACAAGAAACAAGAGGGTACCTTTCTCCCTCTTTTTGTTTGAAATTATCAATACAAATACCAATTTAAAAAAAAAAAAAAAAAAAGAAAAAAGGCAACATCATGACAATTATGTTAAGACAGTAAGTACAGGTGGTACAATGGCATGGTGATGAAGCTTACCACAGGCAAAAATTGGGTACAGGGATAAAAATGCAAGTGCATATAGATAAAGTACAATATAAATTTATATGGTTGCTCATAGATTGGAGGTCTACACAAGGAGAAACTTGTCTTCTATTTTAAGTCTAGGTACAAGTGTCTTCCAACTTTACGATCTTCACCAATATAGTAGGGTGATACAGAGCGGACTTGCACGATGCATCCTAAAGTAGAATATCGAAATTGCATCATTGGGTGATTCAAATTGTTATAAGGAATCTGTCTGATACCATATCAAATGTTTCAACTTGGAATGATACCAGCTGAAATTTCGATAAGCACAATACAATAATTCACAATGATTTAAGCTATATTTATTCATACTTGGTTTAAACATAGAGTTCTAGACATAAAAATAAACAGTGAGGTAGATAGGGGATAAATTGTCTCATTCTTTTTGCTCAACCTATCAAATATTAGTTAAAGTGTATACAATAAATGGATGGAGAAGATTGAAAACTAGCCAATGATTATTGAAATGATCAATGATAAACTCAAAGCCTCTCTTCCTGAGCATATAGTTCATAGATGCTTTTTAAGACCTTCCTAATTGAGACTTAAGCAATCTGTCTACACTACAAGCCCCCAAAAGTCCCTAAGATAACTAAGGGAGAAGCACTGTCAACTGTATGTAATGGTGGATTCACTTGTAATATCACCATTTTCTTAACAAATCATCTTCAACTAGATGGTAGATAACCTATTGTAGGGAGTTCTGTAAGGGATTTCAATCTCAGTCAAGGGTAGATAAATCAATATCATTCCTTTCCATTACCTCATGTCACATGACAAAATCCTTTTTCTGAGCTTCCACTGTTCATGCGTCTTACTTCCTTTTCCTTAGTTGCACTAAGTTCTTAAGTTGTCATATTTGCAACAAAATTTTCTTACAAAGATTTTCTCCTAAATTTATGAATGCATTGAGTAGAGCATTTTTTAGAGAAATTTTTAGGTTTTAGACAAAGGAGTCCACTTTCAATCTCTTGGACTAATTTCCAAATTAACCTTTTTTTCCGATCACTTAAATGCATATTCTCTGTTATAATCATTTCTCAATAGCTGTTTTCTTTTTTGAGTTCTAGAGAGGTGATAACTAGTTCTCTAGTCTCTCTGGGTCTAAGATTTTTATTTGAGTTCAAATTCACTATGTAGTACGTACTAGTATTGTTATCAAAATCGTATGATTTACGATTCGATTTAGTCCCAATTTGATTCGTATCGTACTATAAAATCGTTTTTGGGTGAGAATCGCACCTGAATTGTAAAAATTGCATGATTCCATTCGAATCAAATTGTGCGATTCATTTTATTATTTTGTTTAACCTTATTTCTAGTAAAACGACGTCGTTTTGCTAGAAGATGTCTAGCCCCAAATATAAAACTTGTTGTTCTCTTTGTATCACCCGTTCACGTCTCTCCTCCCAAGCAACTGTTCATGCACCTGTGAATATCACATAGAGACAACGTCTCCTTCACTCTATGTATGTTTTTTCTTCTTTTACAAAAACAACTATCAAACCCTAACAAACCCCACTTCTTCTTCTTCTTCTTCAATAAATGCTCTATTTTTTTCATCAAAAATTTATTTTTCAATCGAATATGAGAATTGATTTTTTAAGTTTACATATTCGAATTAGTATGAGCTTTTCCTATTTGAGATTAACTTCTTTGGTAGGAAAACAATAACTATTTGTTGGTTAAAAAATATGCATCTTTCATTGTGGCTATTTTGAGGAAATGATTTATTATGCATTAAGAAAGAAGTAACAGAGGTACAAACTCAAGTGTAGCTTTACAATGATTTATTAAGGTTAGCATCTTTCCATTTAGACAACGTGATAATGTCAATACCATCAATTGATTATTTTTAAAATATAATAATGTTCAATAAATAACATATTGCCTATTTTAAATGTTTATGTTATTTTTTTTCATTGTTCAAATCTTGTGTTGAATCTTACAATTCCTAATTCTCAAATCTAGGATTTTGATTCCCGATACAAATCTCGATTTGACAACTATGCCTATTAGGCTTTAATTTCAAATCTCAACTTTTCTAATAATTTCTGTTCTACAGTTCTTCCTTAGGATAGACTCCTTGTTGTAATATTTTTAAAAAACAAATTACAATAATTTTAAAAAGGGTAGGGGAGATGGATAGTCCTAAAACCATGATAGGTGGGAAGGACCCTGAATAGAAACTAACTTATGTTAATGGTAGCTGAGAGAAATCAAGATACTGGAGTGTGCTCTCTCTTAGTTTTATAGGGTAATATTGATGATAATGATAGTAATAATGACGATAGGGAAACAATTTCTTTGAGAACAAAGAGTTGTCATGCAGAATGTTTTCAAGACATGTTTAGTTCCTTAATTAGAGTAGCACCTTTTATTAAATCATTTATTGGAGTTGAATATTGCTTCCACTTTATTATTTCTATTTGTTTTGTGCTGGTAGGAGTGTGTGCTATACTGACTTGGTCAAGAAGACTGAAGATTGCTTTGGATGTTGCAAAAGGGCTTGCCTTTCTTCATGGCACAGAAAGACCAATAATATATCGGGATTTCAAAACATCAAACATTTTGCTGGATGTGGTTAGTGGTCATTGTAATATACTCTCGATCCAATTAGTGATAAATGGCAAGATGAGGAGCCCTGGGTATCCTCATCTTGGAAGAAGAATCAAAAGTTTTTTAACAGCTGCAGAAGAGAGAAGATACTAGGTCCCCAATAAAATGTTCTTCAGCACTTTTTTAAATGGAAATGGCTTTACTTAAGAAGCACAAACTACTTTTGGAAAATGAGAAATAAGCGTTGAGATTACAAGCATACTTCTAACACTAATGTTGGATAAAACCTGCAGGATTTTAATGCAAAGCTTTCTGACTTTGGACTTGCAAAAGATGGACCTATGGGAGATCAAACTCATGTGTCAACCCGGGTTATGGGCACTTACGGATATGCAGCTCCTGAGTATGTCATGACTGGTGAGTTTTATGACGACAAATTGCAATGAATAATCTATCATGTTAGATGGTCAACTTTTATTTTAAGGGGTGTTTTCTTCCTCCTCGTAAAATTCATCCGCACTTGCACCTTTTTCCTCCATTTTTATGTTTTCACCGTTTTGGATAGGCTTTTAGTATTTTATCATAGAGTGCAGTTGATTTGAATTTTTTTTCAATATCTAAAGGAAGCTGGGAAAAGTGACTGCTTTACTTGATCTTTTGATCCTGGAGTTCAAAATGAGAATTTTTTTTCATTTCCACTTATAATTTTCTCCAACCATGGGGTATCTTAGCAAGAAATATAAGGAGCCCTTTCCTCTACCTTCTTTTCACAAGCAAGTAATTTGAGTTCTCAGAACATTGCTTGTCCTCTACCCTTTTATTACATTCTCCTGTTGTTATCCTCTTCTGTTTACTTGTCTAAACCTTCAACCAGGTAATATGAATAGTTTGATGATGTGGTGTATACGCATTGGGTAGTTAACTGTTTGAGCTGTTTGTGTAATGAACATTATGACTGTTCCCCTGGGCAACTTATTAACTAACCTGTATTATTGAGTTCTTCAGGACATTTAACAGCTAGAAGTGACGTTTACGGTTTTGGGGTGGTGTTACTTGAGATGCTGATTGGAAGGAGAGCAATGGATAAGAGCAGGCCTAGCCGGGAGCATAACCTGGTTGAGTGGGCCCGCCCACTCTTGAATCACAGCAAGAAGCTTCTGAGGGTATTAGACCCCAGAATGGAAGGGCAATACTCATCTAAAACTGCGGTAAAGGTGGCCAGTCTGGCATACCAATGCCTCAGTCCAAACCCGAAAGGGAGGCCTGTTATGAGCCAGGTGGTTGAAATACTTGAAACTCTTCAGACACTAGACAGAAGCCAAGATGAGGCAATGCTTCAGAGTGGAGGCGGCATTGTAACCCTTTACGAAGTTCCTAAGGGTGGGACAGACACAACGGACGAGAAGAAGAAATACCCAACTAGAAGTGAGAGTCAAAGAGAAGATGAGGTTCCTCGAATGAACAAACCAGCAAATGGGAGGAGCAAGAGTGAGCCTCCAAAGGAGTTTGATCTTTATGGTCCATCGCTGAATATTGGGACTGCCAATAGAAACTGAACTCAGAAATCAAATATGGTTCTATCGAAATTGTACAAGAGATGCCAAACCATTTATCTTCTCTCTTTTTCCTTGTTTGGAATTCTTTTCTTCTAAATTTGATAATGTAGAGGAGAGCTGGAGATGTTCCATCCATTATAATTTTTCTGCATCCACTTGAGAAGGTTTTTTTGAATGTGTTTGGGTACTTGCTTTAGCTTTATGATTTACAAGGCATAGTTTGAAGGAACTAAATTAGAAACCACGATGAACCTAAAACATCTTGATATTACATTTGGTATCCGCATCGTTGGATTTGACAGGTCGTTAGGGGTTGGTTACACTTCGTTACTGGAATAAAACCGCGGTTTTACTACTTCCACGTAACCAGCTGAATGTTCCTATAGTGTCAATGCATGTCTTGGGCAGTCCTTAAAATTAAATTTAAGTGACCTCAATTAGATTCTCCAATTAAGTTAAAGAGTATGGGCCCGAAGAGAGGTGATTTCTTTCTAAATCCTGAACTGTGATGGTTCGGAATGCAGGATCTACTAAACATGCTTAGCTCTTATTGTGGCCTCACTGATTATATTTTTGATAATATTTATATAATAAAATAGCTTACAATTCAAATCTCAAAAATAAATAAAATGACTTTTGCTATTCGCGGTTGAGATCGTTTTAAATTTAACTTTAAAATTATTTAACGGCTAATATTAACACCCTAAATTTAATAAAAAATTTTGTCCTTAAGGGTGTGTTGGAATTTTGGAGTGTTTGAAATCGCTCCACCGCTACCACCATCACCCCCGCCACCACCTCCACCATTGCCTCTGCCACCGCTGATGCCGCCGCCACCAACACCCCCCCCCCCCCCCCCCCCCCGTCGCCACCACCACCACCACCCTTACCCCCACCATCACTGCCATCGCCACCACTGTTGCCGCCGCTGTCATCACCGTCTCCTACTATTACCACTGCCGCCCACCACCTCTCACTCTTACTACAAGTCGATACTTAAATTCATTTATTTTTTCTCTATATTTGTGATTTGATTTTAGATATAAATACAAATATATTTATTGTTACTATTTTTTATTACTTTGTGCTTTTAGGTACAGACAATAACTAGTTATCAATATATTTTTGGTACTAAATTTTTTTAATTTTTTCTAAACTATCACTTTTTCAAATTTTTTGTCAACTTCTAAATTTACTTGCACATATTTTCACGTGAATTAGAGTTTTTGAGTTTATCAAATGAAGGTGAAGAATTGTCTTAAAAAAAAGTGGAGGTAAATAATTAGTTTGGTTTAAGTATGAATGGTTAAATCTTGACCAAAAGAAAAATTATCAAGTGATCTACTAAGTGGGAAGACCTTATGCTACAACAAAATCTATATTTAAATTTTTGGGTTAAAATATAAATTTTTAAGTTTATATACAACAAAAAAATTATTATTTAAGGTCAATTTCGTGTTGGTTTAATCAACTCTAAATAATATTTAATACGAAATGAATTTTAGATTGTAAATTAATATATAATTTAATCAAATTGATATTTAATTTTTTCTAATTTATATTCAGCTTTGTCGAATTAATATAAAATTAATTTTTATTGTTATCAAATTAATATTGAAATTATTTAATCAATTTTTTGGGGTACTAAAGTTGAAAAAGGATAATTATGAAAATAATAATAAAAATTGGATGAAATCATCATTTTCTGTTAGAAACATTGACGGAAGGGAAACAGATGGGTATGTGTGCAATGAGTTTCAAATCTCAATGAATCCTCATATTAATTTCGTTATATAATCACTTAGTACAACTAAATTTTACTGTGCTGATATGACATGTGAAAATCTGACAAAATGAGATAAAGTGTGTGCACATCTCTTAAATACATACAACATTGAGTCTTATATATTTCAAGTTTGGAGAAATAATAATTTGTCCTCTAAAATTGGTATCATGATTGGATTCTATTCCCTCTAGGCCAAAGCTTGGCTCCGTCACAGTGTGTGTGTGTGCAATTGAACCGCCTTCAATTTGATTTGGATGTTACATATTTTTTTGCCCATTCGTTACATTTTGATTGCAGTTTCGATTTTGATTTGTATAATAATATAATCAAACCCAAATAATTGAGACGAAATACCATGGACCGCAATTAAGTATAAAATTACAAGTAGTTAATTTTGTGTTGATTTGATCAATAACAAATAATATTCAACATGAAATGAGTTTTAGATTATAAAATAATATTTAATTTTATCAAATTGACATTTAATTTTGTCAAATTAATATTCAATTTTATCGAATTAACTTTAAATTAATTTTTATTGTTATCAAATTAAAATTGAAATTCATTTAATCAATTTTTTGGGATATTAAATCAATTTTTTTTGATTTTATTAAAATTTTAATTTAATTTTTTTGTGTACTAAATTTGGAGAAGGGCAATTGTGAAAATAATAAAAAAATTTGGGATGAAATTATCACTTTCCATTAACAACATTGATGGAAGGGAGAGGAGGTGGTTTCTGTGCAATGAGTTTCAAATCTCAGAGGTCTATGTGTTATTTATAAAATGTCAGGAAAATTCATGTAATATTTTCAAAACTCGGGTATTCATGTTTTTTACCCAAATTATTTTCATAAGTTCTATATAATAAAATATTTGATAATAACACTTGCTCATCGAATAGCTTCATTGAATAAAAAGTTCTGACTACGCCATTATTCGGCCCCTTATGATAAATTCTTAACTACTTTTTTGCGCACACACACGTCAAAATCAAAGGAAGGAGCTTTCACGTAGCACGAGGAATTTTAAAGGTAAAACATTTTTTAGAATATCTAACGCAAAACCCACTTTAGAGGAGGTGAGTGGTGGTGGGTGGCCATGCTCTCGATGGAACTGAGGGAGGTGGGTGGAAGGTGGTGGATGGTGGTCGTGGCTGTCAAAGGCAATAGAAGGAGCTATGTCCTCTACATTTACGCAAAGGGAACATGAACGAATGCCACTGTAACTAAAATAATAAATCCTTTTGAAATTGAATAAACGTGTAATATAGAGAGATCAGTACGAGAGACGGGAGGCGATAAATTAGAGTTCAAACACTTCGTTTCTGAAACCCTTTCTTGTGTGCATAAATCACTCGATCAGTTGAATTTAATTAAAAATGTAATAATAAACTTTGGTTCAAAAGTTTAAATGAATGAGGATTTTATAATTATTTAAACAATATTGCAATTAACTAAAATTTAGGATCAAATTTTATGGCTCAAATAATGTGGTAGCATTTCACACCTAACAAATAAGAGATCTAACAATATTTGAATTTGTCATATCATTTGAACTACTCAGTCACCTCGGCATCTCTGGTATGTTATCTGTAAAATGTCGAAGGTTATGATTGTAAATGTCGGGATGACATGTCTGGTAACCATGGGATAAAATAAAGTTTGCTTTTTTTTTTTCCCCACACCAAACCACAGCGTGTTTGGATTACATTTAAAACAATAGAATCTAAAAACTCATTTTTGGGAAGAAATTTAAAAAACTGTGCTTTATATTTTTTGTGTCACAGAACTTTTTTGGTTATACGATTCTAAAAACAATTCGACGGAACATAAAACAGTAAAATCTGTTTAGACAGTAGTCTAGAAAATATTGAAAACATAAATGATGTTTGGATTGACTTTTTCATATTTAAAGTTTTCAAATTATTAAACTTGATAAAATTAACATAAATCATGCTATAGTAAAAAAATTCATTTGTACTCATAGGCGAATACACTTATCAAATTGAATATTTATCGAATTCATAATATCATAATACAAGTTCTAATATAATACACACATTTGTTCGTACATAAGAGAAGTCTCACATTATCTTACATCAACTCATTTCTACAAATTATCTTACATAGATAATTGATCATTTCTCCACTATGTTGATAACAAGTAAAAACAATAATTCGAACCAAAAATTTCATTACCACCGCAAATGTACAAATGAGCCAAGTTCAAATAAAAGTAGGACTCACAATTCGAAATTGGTGGGACTAAGTTTAAACGCGTTCTCCTCTGTAAGGAGATTAACGTGGTATATTTATTTGTCCAAAACCATTAAGATTTGAATGAGAAATTATGTCTTAAAGTGACCTATTTGAAGTAATGAAAAAAACTAAGATTGGTGAAGTGAAATAAGATTTGTCCTACATTGGAAGAAGACTAACACTTTGCTGAATAAATATACTCTTAGTTGGTTTCATAGGTTGGACCCCAAGGGGTACCATACTTTTGTGTGCGGAGTAGTACTTACAATATCTTGGTTATCACACATCGCCCGCCTACCTTGACCTAGCTGGGCTTGGGCTTGAGCTGGGGAAAAAAAGATACAATTTTTTTGGACAAAATTTACTTGGAGCGGTGCGGGTCATGGGTCAAATCAATCGGATTTAAACGCAGATTGGAATTAAAATTCCAATCGAAATTTAAATCCAATCAAAATTTTAAATTTATATCCGTTACTTTTTGAATTTGGTGCCAAAGTGGTTCTAGTTCATTCTGGAGGCTTTGTTCAGATTAAATAGGTGCCTTTACCTATTTAGATTAAAGAGGTGTCTTTGCCAGTTCAAATTAAAGAATGTGTCTCTTTAATCTGAACAATGACAACTCATGTCTCTTCAAGCAATTTGAATAGCCACCAAGGATCTATAAATAGACTGGCCCATTGCCATTTCAATCCATCCTATTATAGATTCTAGTTTCAGAATATTTCTTCTCTCTCTCTCTCTCTTTCTTGGTTTGGTTCAACAAGTTATGTTCGCTAGAATCTTAAAGATTGAAGTGTTGCTTCTTCAAGTATGAAAATTTGTTTTATTTTGGGAGACAATTACTCATCAACCCTGAGCACTGAGAGGAGCAAATCTATCTTAAGGAGATTGTGTTTCATAAGACTCAGATTATCTATTCTAGTGTTCTTATTAATTGTTCATGCTGATCTGCG